CTGTGCTGGTCGGAGACAGTGCTCTGTCCCTCTGTCTTTCTGTCCGTCCTGGCTGTCCATCTCTCTGTCCATCTGTCTATCCATCTGTCTGTCAGTCTGTCTGTCCCTCTGTCTGTCTGTCTCTGTCAGTCTGTCTGTTCATCTGTCTACTTGTCCGTCCGTCTGTCCATCTGTCTGTCCGTCCGTTTCTCTGTCCATCTCTGTCCGTCTGTTAGTCTGTCTATGTCTGTCCCTCTGTCTGTCTCTGTCAGTCTGTCTGTTCGTCTGTCTACTTGTCCGTCCGTCTGTCCATCTGTCTGTCAGTCCGTTTCTCTGTCCATCTGTCTGTCCCTCTGTCTCTCTGTCCCTCTGTCTGTCCATCTGTCTATCCATCCATCAGATCAGTCCATCCGTCTATCTGTCCATGTGTCTGTGTCGCTCTGTCCACCAATGTATCTGTCTGTCCATTCATCTGTCCATCCATCTATCTACTGTCTGTCTACCTACCTGTGTATCCTTCCTTCCGTCCATCTCTCTCTCTCTCTCTCTGTCTATGACTGTTTGTCTATCTGTCCATTGCTCTGTCTATCTATGATTCTATTTGTCCACTGGTCCATCCATCTAGCTATCTGTCCATCTGTCTGTCCACCTGTCTCTCTATCTATCTGTCTGCCTGTCTCTCTGGTGTCTGTCTACCTATCTGTCTATACATCCATCGGTCCGTCCGTCTGTCTACCAACCCACCTGTCCATGTTATCTCTTTCAATCCATCCATCCATCCACCCGTCTGTCTATCCATCCATCTGTCCATCTGTCTCTCTGTGTATACCTCTGTCTGTCTATCTGTCCATTGGTCGATCTATCCATCTGTTCATCTGTCCATCTGTTCGTCTCTCTGCCCATTCTTCTGTCTATCTGTCTCTATGGCTCTGTCTATCCGTCCATTGGTCTGTCTGTCTATCTATCTGTCTGTCTGTCTACCTATCCATCCATCCAACCATGTATGTTTCTGTCTGTCTGTCTATCCGTCCATCTATCTCTCTGTCTGTCTGTCTCTCTATGGCTCTGTCTGTCCATCCTTCCATTGGTCGGTCTGTCTGTCTGTCTCTTTCTATCTGTCCATGTTTCTGGTGTCTGTCTGTCTACGGCCCTGTCTATCCGTCCATCAATCTGTTTATCTGTCCATCAGTCCATGTATCTCTCTGTCTGTCTGTCTGTCTCTCTGGTCTATATCTGTCCATTGGTTTATCTGTCTGTCTGTCTACCTATCTATCTGTCCATCTGCCCTTCTATCTACTATCTGTCTACCTATCTATCCATCCTTCTGTCCGTCCATCTGTCCACCTGTCTCTGTATCCATCCGTCTGTCAGGTGTCTGTCTACCTATCTGTCTATATATCCATCAGTCTGTCTGTCTACCCATCCATCTGTCCATCTATCTCTTTGTCTATGGCTCTGTCTGTCTATCTGTCCATTGGTCTGTCTATCTATCCATCCAGCTGTCTGTCTGTCTACCTATCTATCCATCCATCCAACAATGTATGTTTCCATGTCTGTCTGTCTCTCCATCCATCTGTCCATGTATCTCTCTGTCTGTCTATGGCTCTGTCTATCCGTCCATTTGTTTATCTATCAGTCTGTCTGTCTATCTGTCCGTCTGTCTACTGTCTGTCTACCTGTCTATCTGTCCTTCTGTCTATCTGTCTGTCTGTCTCTCTATGGCTCTGTCTATCCGTCCATTCATCCGTCTATCCACCTATCTGTCTGTCTGTCTGTCTATCCATCCGTCCCTCTATCTATCTGTCTGCTCTATGTCTGTCTGTATGTGCGTGTGTGTTTGTCTCCCCAGTCATCCTGTGCCCCACATGGCCAGGAACACAGACAACAGACAGACAGAGCAAAGGACTTCACCACTCCCCTCCCCATGCCCTCTGACCTGTCCATGCCCTCTGCCCTCCCAGTGACCCCTGACCTCCCTGTGACCTCTCCATGACCTCTGACTATGTGACCTCTGACCTCCTGTGACTCCTGGCTTCCCCATGACTTCTGATCTCCCAGTGACCCACCCAAGACCTCCCCGTGACCTCTCCATGACCTCTGACCTCTCTGCAACCGCTGACCCTACTGTGACCCCTGACTTCCCTGTGACCTCTGACCCCCCGTGACCCCTAACCTCCCCATGACCTCTGACCGTCTTGTATCCTCCCTGTGACCTCTAACCTCCACCTCCTATCTGGCTCCCCTCAGTCCCCCACCACCAAGCCAAGAGCCTGCAGGAGACAGATGGGTAAACTGAGGCTCACCCGTGTCCAGCTCGTTCCAGGCGCCACGGGGCGGGGTCACGGCGGGCAGTGCCGGGGGTCGCGGGTCAAAGGTCCTGGGGTCACCATCGGGGGAAGCCGCAGGACGGGAAAGGAGGGCATCCGGGGCACGGCCGTGCAGGGTCGTGACCACGGGGTCACGGGGGTTCGCCGTGGGGCCCGGCCAGGCGCGGTGGGCTTTGGGCTGTCGCCCCCGCCTGTGGCCGCCTCCGAGCCTCCTGGGGACCGGAAGTAAGGAGGCCGGAAGTGAGGAGGACGGAAGTGCAGAGGTCCGAGCAGCGGATGCTCGAGGGGTGGAGGCCGGAAGTGGGGATGTCCGTGTCAAAACCAGAAGTGGAGAGGTCCGTAGGGAGACCGGAAGTGTGGAAGTCAGAAGTGGGAATCTCTGAGTGGTGACCGGAAGTCGGGTGGTCCGACTGGAGACCGGAAGTGGGGAGTTCCGTGGGGAAACTAGAGGTGTGGAAGCCGGAAGTGGGGATCTCTCAGTCGAAAACCGAAGTGGGTAGGCCGAAGTAGTGGAGGCCGGAAGTGTGGATTTCCGAGTGGAAACCGGAAGTGGGGAGACAGGAAGTGGGGTAGTCCGAATGGAGACCGGAAGTGGGGATCTCCTTGTGGAGACCGGAAGTGTAGATCTGCGAGTGGAGCCCAGAAGTGGGGATGTTCGAGACAAAACCGGAAGTGTGTAAACAGGAAATGCGGGGGTCCGAGTGGAGACCGGAAGTAGGAATTTTCGAGTGGAAACTGTAAGTGTGGAAGCAGGAAATGCGGGGGTCCGAGTGGAGACTGGAAGTGGGGAGGTCCACGGGGAGAGCGGAAGTGGGTAGGCGGAAGTAATGAAGACAGGAAATGGCGATGTTTTAGCGGAAACCGGCAGTGTGGAGACCGGAAGTGGGGTGGTCTGAGTGGAGACCGGAAGTGGTGAGGTCCGAGTGGAGACCGGAAGTGGGTCGGCAGAAGACACAGAGATCGGAAGTGGGGACATTTGCATCGAAACCAGAAGTGTAGAAACCGGAAGTGTGGACGCCGGAAGCGTGGTCTCCGTGGAGACCTGAAGCAGGGCGGGCGGGGCCCGGAAGTTGCCCGTGCCGCGGCCGCGCACGCGCGCCAGGATTCGCGCCCAGTGCTCGGGCTGGATGTGCTCCGCAGCCACTGGCGGGCGCGGGCGGCCCGGCAAGGCGGGCTCGAAACTGCGGCCGGCGGGGGCGGCGCGCGGGGCGGGAGGGGGAGGCGGAGGCGGCGGACGCCGCTGCTGCCCGCGCCCCGGGCCGCCCGCAGGACGCCGACGCCACAGCCGCGCTTCCCCGGTGCCCAGGCCCGAGCTAGGCACGTCAACAATGACGTCAGCGCCACGCGACGCCCCTGCGGCCGCTTCCGCAGCAGCGCCCGCCATCTTGGAATCCGCCATTTTTGAATCCGCCATCTTGGCCTTCACCATCTTGGAATCCGCCATCTTAATTCCCTCCATCTTGGATTCCTCCATCTGGGATTCCGCCATGTTGGTTCCCTCCATCTTTGATTCCACCACCTTGTTTTCGGCCATCTTTATTCCTTCCATCTTGTTTTCCGCCATCTTGATTCCTTCCATCTTGGATTCCGCCATGTTGCTTTCCCTGATCTTGTTTCCCTCCATTTTGGATTCCGCCATCTTGGTGTCCACCATCTTGGAATCTGCCATGTTGGTGTCGGCCATGTTGGATTCCACCATGTTTTTGGCCATCTTGGTTCCCTCCATCTTGCTTCTCTCCATGTTTGATTCTGCCATCTTGGCATCTGCCATCTTCGTTTCGTCCATCTTGGCTTCCGCCATCTTAGTTCCCTCCATCTTGGATTCTGCAATCTTGGCTTCCGCCATTTTGTTTCCTTCCATCTTGGATTCCGCCATCTTGGTTCCCTCCATCTTGTTTTTGGCCATCTTGGAATCCGCCATGTAGGGGTCGGGCATGTTAGATTCTGCCATGTTTTCGGCCATCTTGCTTCCCTCCATTTTGGATTCCGCCATCTTGGTGTCCACCATCTTGGAATCCACCATCTTAATTCCCTCCATCTTGCTTTCCGCCATCTTGTTGCCTTCCATCTTGGCTTCCGCCATCTTGTCCCCCGCCGCCCCGCCCACGCTGACGTCGGCGTCCCAGCGCGCCAGCCCCAGCGCGTTGGCAGCCACGCACACATAGCGCCCGGCATGCCTTGGGCCCAGCGTGGGCAGCGTTAGCGTCCCGTCCGCCCCGACCCCGACGCCATCCGTCCCCAGCTCCATCCCCGCCCAGGCCCAGTGCCCGCCCGGCAACAGCCAGCCCACGCGCGCCGCCGGCTCCGCTCGGCAGCCCAGCCGCAGCGCGACGCCGGCAGGCAGCGCCAGAGCCGTGGCTGCTGGCGCCCGCGATGCCACTACGAACACGCGGTGCGCCCGGCCCGCCACGGCGGCCTCAAAGCCGCCATAGGCCGCAGGGCCCGGGGCTGCAGACGGGGTGTAGGCCGCGGGGGCTGTGGCTTCAAAGCTGGTGTAGGCCGCGGGGCCTGTGGCTTCAGAGGTGTCAAAGGCTGTGGGACCTGTGGCTTCAGACACGGTGTAGGCTGCAGGGCTTGTGGCTTTCTTCTCAGTGTAGGCCTCAGATCCTATGGCTTTTTCCTCAGTGAAGGCCTCGGATTCTATGGCTTTATTTGCACCATAGGCCTCGGATTCTATGGCTTCATTCACAGCGTAGGCTTTTTCTTCACCATAGGTCTCAGATTTCGTGGCTTTTTCCTCAGTGTAGGCCTCGGATCTCATGGCTTCATCTGAGCCATAGGCACTGGATCCTTTGGCTTTCTCCTCAGTGTAGGCCTCAGATCCTATGGCTTCATTCACAGCGTAGGTCTTGGATCCTGTGGCTTCATCCACACCATAGGCCTCGGATTCCATGGCTTCCTCTTCCGTGTAGGCCCCGGACCCCGTGGCTGCGTCCCCGCCGTAGGCCACACGCCATGCCTTGGTTTCCCCGCGGCGCCCCACGCGGGCCTCACAGCGGTACCAGCCAGCGTCGGCCTGGCGCATCCCGTGGATCTCCAGTGTTGTCCCCCCGTCATGGCCACCGTCCTCATCGCCCCGCAGGATGGAGCCGTCGGGCCGCGTCCAGGCCACGCGTGGTGTTTCCGAACCCTGCGCCGCACAGCGCAGCCGCAGCGTCTGCCCCGGGGTCACCACGTGCACGTCATCAGGGTCATCACGGGGGTCGAGGGTCACCCAGGGCGCGTCCTCCGGGTCCTCGGGGCCACGCACGCACGCCGTCCACGTCAGACGCACGTGTGGCCCGCTCAGCCCGGCCCAGCGCAGCATCAGCTCGGGCTGCAGCAGCCAGGCAGGCCGTGCCCACAGCCGGGCCACCACGCCCGGAAGTGACGTTGGCGACGATGACGATGCGCCAGGGCCGCGCACCAGGCGGTAGGCCTTGCCCACATCCGGGTCATGGACATCCGGGAAACTGGCCTCAGGGTGGGCGTGGCCTCCATCCTGGTCATACCTGGGGCCTACATCCGGGTCTCTGTCCTCAGAGTGGGCGGGGCCTTCATTTGGGTCATTGACATCAGGGTCTCTGTCCTCAGGGTGGGCGTGGCCTCCATCCTGGTCATACTCGGGGCCTACATCCTGGTCTCTGTCCTCAGGGTGGGCGGGGCCCTCATCCGGGTCATTGACATCCGGGTCTCTGTCCTGAGGGTGGGTGGGGCCTATGTCCTGATCATACTCATGGCCTACATCTGGGTGTCTGGCATGCTTGTAGGCGGGGCCTACATCCGGGTGTCTGTCCTGCTGGTGGGAGGGGCCTACATCCGGGTCTCGGGCTTGATACATATAGCCTACATTCGGGTATTTGTCCTGTAGATGGGTGTGGCCTACAACCGGGTCTCTGTCCTGAGCGTGGGCAGGGCCTACATCAGGGTCTCTGGCTCGCTGGTGGACGTGGCCTATATCAGGGTTGCTGGTTCGATGGTGGGCATGGCCTACATCCGAGTCTGTGGCCTGATACATATGGACAACATCCGGGTTTCCGCCCTGCCGGTGGGCGTGGCCTACATCCGGGTCCCTGTCCTGATACAGCTCCTCCCCATCAGGGTCTCCGCCCGAGGGTTGGGCGTGGCCTTCCCCGGATCCATCTCCCGGGTCCCTATCCGGATGGGCGTGGCCCGGTGCCTCCGGGTCCCAACGCAGCGTCAGCACAACATCATCAGTGTCGTCATCGCCTCCCAGCAGGTGGCGGGCCTGTGCGAGGTGGGCGGGGTCGGCATAGCAGACGAGGGCGGCGCTGAAGGTCAGACGCACGCCCACAGGGAAATCGGGGGCAGGGCCGGGCCGCACGTCGAGGTCGCGCACGCTGGGCGCGTGCCACAGGCGGCAGGCAAGGCCGGCGGTGCGGCCACGGGCATCTGTCAGCCTCAGCCGCACCTCGCCCACCTCCTCCCCGTCCTCCACTTCCTCTTCCTCTGCCTCCATTTCTGCTTCTGGCGGCTCCTCACCGTCCGCCGGGCCAGTGAGGATGCGCGGCGGGCGACAGCGCATGCGTGGCGGCAGGCGACGCAGGTCCAGGCCGCGGCGGTCGGCAGGGCTGGCGCAGGCCGCGCACGCCTGTTCCTTCCCACAGCGCAGCACGCCTGCAGGGGGGGACGGGAGAGGGGCGGGGCTGACATGGGACACGCCCCCCTGGGGAGCCTCGGCCACGCTCCCGCCGCGCCTGACTGGCTGGAGCTCGGCCACGCCCGTCCTGGGGGTTCTCAGCCATGCCCCAGCCATGCCTGACTGGCTGGAGATTGGCCACGCCCCCTGCCGAGCCTCAGCCACACCCCTGCCCTGCCTGACTGGCTGGAGTGCAGCCACCCCCCCCTGTGTCACCTCAGCCACGTCCTCATCTCACCTGACTGGCAGGAGATAGGCCATGTCCCTTGCAGCTCCTCACTAGTGCCTAGCCACGCCCAGCCACGCCTCCGCCTCGCCTGACTGGCTGGACCTTTGCCACGCCCCCGTGAAGCCTTAGCCATACCCTCACCCTGCCTGAGTGGCTAAAGCTGGGCCACACCCTCCCTGTGGAGCCTCAGCAACGTCCCCGCCCTGCCTAAGTGGCTAGACCTTGCCACGCCCCCTGCAGCTCCTCACTAATGCCCAGCCAAGCCCAGCCACGCTGCTGCCGTTTTCTACTGGCTGGAGCTCAGCCACGCCCCCCTGGGCGCCTCGGCCAGGCCTCTGCCCCGTGTGACTGGGGGAGCTCGGCTACTCACTTATGCCCAGCCATGCCCCCGTCCTTTCTCACTGGCTGTAGGTCGGCCACGCCCCCTCTCTGCATTGCCTCAGTCCCGCCCGGCCCTCATTGGCCTGCGCTTGACCACGCCCCCTCTGCTCACCTCGGCCCCGCCCCTCCAGGTCCTCCATCCAGCCTGCATGGCAGCCGCAGGCCCAGGGGTTACCCTGTAGGTGCAGCGCGCGCAGTGCGGGTGCGCGGGCCAGGGTGCCGGCGGGCAGCGCGGCTAGCCGGTTCCCGGCCAGGTGCAGCACGCGCACCGTGCAGGCTGGGACCCCGCGCACGCGCAGCGTGGCCAGCGCCTCAGGCGCCAGCACCGCCAGCTGGTTCCCGTCCAGACGCAGCAGCCGCAGCGACGCCAGCCCCAGCAGCGCCCACGGGTGCACCGACTCCAGCCGGTTGTGGTCCAGGTACAGCCGGGACAGGCGCCGCAGGCCCCGTAGGGAGCCTGTGCGCAGTGCCCGAAGCTGGTTGTAGCTCAGCTTCAGCACCTGCGGGGGTGAAAGGGGGCGTTTCTGGGATCCGAAGGGCCACTTCGGGGTCACTTCCGCCCCACTTCCGGTCTCACTTCTACCCTACTTCTGTACCACTTCCTGTCACACTTCTGCTCCACGTCCGACTTACTTCTGCTGACTTCCGCGTCTACTTCCTCCCACTTCCGAGTACATTTCCTCACTTCTTCCAGTCCCACTTCTGCCCCATTCTCACTTCCTCCCTACTTCCGACTCACTTCCTCCCCAGTTCCGGGTCACTTCCTCCCCCACTTCAGGCTGACTTCCGCCTCTACTTCCCCCAAGTTCCTCCGCACTTCCTGCCACAGTTAAGGCCCTACTTCCTGTCACTTCTGGATCCATATCCTCACCACTTCTGCCCCACTTCCGGCTCACTTCCGCCTCACTTCAGCCCCGACTTCCTCCCACTTCCTGCCCATTTCCTTCCTTATTTCTGCCCCACTTCCGGTCCTACCCATGGTCCTATTTCCACTTTCTTCCCCACTTCCGGCTATATGTCATTCCACACTTCTGGGTCACTTTCGCCCCCACTTCCTCCCCACATCCTTCCCTATTTCCACCCTACTTCTCATTTCCGGAACCATATCCTAACCACTTCCACCCTACTTCTGCCCCTAGTTCCTCCCACTTCCTCCCCACTTCCGGCTTATTTTCTCCCCTACTTCCTCACACTTCCTCCCTACTTCCCGATTTCCACCCCACTTTTGGCCCTACTTCCACTTCTAGATCCATATCCTCACTACTTCCAACCCACTTCCGCTCCACTTCCTTCCCTATTTCCACACAACATCCGGCTACACTTCCAGCCCTACTTCTTCCCAGGTCCTTATCCATTTCCGTCTCATTTCTGCCCCACTTCCGCCTCCCTTCTGCCCCGACTTCCTCCCATGTCCGTCTCTACTTCCTCCATTGATTCCCTACTTCCTCCCCACTTCCTTTGCTATTTGATCCCCATTTCTGCCTGTCTTCCTCCGCATTTCCCCCCTCCTTCCTCCCTACTCTTTTCCCACTTCCTTCTTCCTCCAACTTCCTTCCCACTTCCAGCCCTACTTCCTCCCACTTCCGTATCTATTTCCTCAAACTTCGGCCCCACTTCCTCCCCTACTTTGTCCCACTTCACTGCGTATTTCTGCCCCACTTCCTGCCAAACTTCCGCCCCACTTCCTTCCAATTCCGCCCGCTCCCTGCACACCTGCAGTGCACCCAGGTCGCTCAGGGCGCCCTCGGTGATGTCCGCGATCTCGTTTCCGTGCAGCAGCAGCAGCTGAAGTCTCGCGAGACCGGAGAAGGAAGCGTACGTCAGGACCCGGATGTGGTTGAACCTAATTCAACAGAAGAGAGGACAGGAAGAGGAAATCAGGAAACCAGCCTGAAAACCAGCGCTGGGAGGGCAGGACTTTTGTTTCCAGGTCAGGGTCAAGAATAATGAATCATTACTCATCATCATCTTCCTTCCTTCCTTCTTTCCTTCCTTTCCTCCCTCGCTTCCTTCCTTCCTTCCCTACGTCCTTCCTTCCTTCCCTCCCTCCTTCCCTCCTTCCTTCCTTCCTTCCTTCTTTCCTTCCCTTCTTCCCTCCTTCCTTCCTTCCATCCTTCCCTCCTTCCTTCCTTCCCGCCCGCCCTCCCTCCTTCCTTCCCTCCTTCCTTCCTTCCCTCCTTCCTTCCTTCTTTCCTTCCTTCCTTCTATCCTCCCTTCCTTCCCTCCATCCTCCTTCCTTCCCTCCTTCTCTCCTTCCTTCTTTCCCTCCTTCCCTCCTTCTTTCTTTCCTTCCTTCCTTCCTTCCTTCCTCTTCCTTCCCCCCTTTCCCCCCCCAGGCCTCACCCCAGGTTCACGCGCTCCATCTTGGGGTCCAGCACGTGGGGCACGGCCCTGAGGCTGCGGAAGGTGCAGTGGAGCTCGGTGGGGACGTAGCAGGCGCAGGTCCTGGGGCAGCGGGTGGCGGGGGCTGGGTGGGGGCTACACAGGAGCAGCAGCAGCAGGAGCAGCGAGGCCCAGGGGCGGGGCCCCCCATCCTGGGGCTGGGATGGAGGGGGGGAGGCTGGGGATGGAGGCCCAGGGGTGGAGGCCCAGGGAAATGGAGGCTGGAAGTTGGAGGCCCAGGGAAGGAGGCCTAGGGATTAGAGGCCAGGGTGGAGACTGGGGATGGAGGTCCAACAGGGTGGAGGATAGGGGTGGAGGCTGAGGAAGGAGACTGGAAGTTGGAGGCCCAGGGGGTGGAGGCCCAGGGATGGAGGCCTAAGGGAAGTGGAGGTCCAGGGATGGGGGCCTAGGGGTTAGAGGCCAGGTATGGAGGCTGGGGATGGAGGTCCAGGAAGGTGGAGGCCAGAGGTAGAGGCTGAGGATGGAGACTGGAAGTTGGAGGCCAGAGAAGGAGGCCCAGAGGTATTGGAGGCTGGGGATGGAGGCCCAGGGATGGAGGCCTAATGGGGTGGAGGCTGGGGATGGAGACTGGAAGTTGGAGGCCCAGGGAAGGAGGCCCAGGAGGGTGGAGGCTAGGGATGGAGGCCCTGTGGATACAGGAAAGTAGGCCAAATGGGGTGGAGGCTGGGGATGGAGGCCAGGAGTGGAGGCTGGAGATGGAGGTCCAAGGGGGTGGAGGCCCAAGGATGGAGGCCAGGGATGGAGGCTGGAAGTTGGAGGCCCGGGGATGGAGGTTCAAGGATGTGAGGCGACCTGTGGGGGTCAGGGAGACAACAGGGAGGAAGAGGAAGGAGAATGGGAAGAGGAAGGAGATGTATCAGAAGAACAGGAAGAGGAAGAAGGACATGGACACGAGGAAGAGGAAGGGGAAGAGGAAGAGGAGATGGAAGAGGAAGAGGAGATGGAAGAGGAAGAGGAGATGGAAGAGGAGATGGAAGAGGAAGAGGAGATGGAAGAGGAGACAGAAGAGGAGATGGAAGAGGAAGAGGAGATGGAAGAGGAGACAGAAGAGGAGACGGAAGAGGAGATGGAAAAGGAAAAGGTGACGGAAAAGGAAGAGGAGACGGAAGAGGAAGAGGAGATGGAAGAGGAGACGGAAGAGGAGACGGGAGAGGAAGAGGAGACGGAAGAGGAGACGGAAGAGGAAGAGGAGACGGAAGAGGAGACGGAAGAGGAGACGGGAGAGGAAGAGGAGACGGAAGAGGAGACGGAAGAGGAGACGGAAGAGGAGACGGAAGAGAAGACAGGAGAGGAAGAGGAGATGGAAGAGGAGACGGAAGAGATGGAAGAGGAGATGGAAGAGGAGATGGAAAAGGAAGAGGAGATAGAAGAGGAGAAGGAAGAGGAGATGGAAGAGGAAAAGGAGATGGAAGAGGAAGAGGAGACCGGAGAGGAGATAGAAGAGGAGATGGAAGAGGAAGAGGACATGGAAGAGGACACAGAAGAGGAGATGGAAGAGGAAAAGGAGATGGAAGAGGAGATGGAAGAGGAGACGGAAGAGGAGATGGAAGAGGAAAAGGAGATAGAAGAGGAGATGGAAGAGGAGACAGAAGAAGAAGAGGAGACAGAAGAGGAGATGGAAGAGAAGATGGAAGAGGAAGAGGAGACGGAAGGGCAGATGGAAGAGGAGACGGAAGAGGAGATGGAAGAGGAGATGGAAGAGGAAGAGGAGACAGAAGGGGAGACGGAAGAGGAAGAGGAGACGGAAGAGGAAGAGGAGATGGAAGAGGAAGAGGAGACGGAAGAGGAAGAGGAGAGGAAGAGGAGATCGAAGAGGAAGAGGAGAGGAAGAGGAGATGGAAGAGGAAGAGGAGAGGAAGAGGAGATGGAAGAGGAAGAGGAGAGGAAGAGGAGATGGAAGAGGAAGAGGAGACGGAAGAGGAGACGGAAGAGGAGACGGAAGAGGAGACGGAAGAGGAGACGGAAGAGGAGACGGAAGAGGAGACGGAAGAGGAGATGGAAGAGGAGACGGAAGAGGAGACGGAAGAGGAGACGGAAGAGGAAGAGGAGATGGAAGAGGAAGAGGAGATGGAAGAGGAAGAGAAGAAGGAAGAGGAGACGGAAGAGGAGATGGAAGAGGAGATGAAAGAGGAAGAGGAAATGGAAGAAGAAGAGGAGATGGAAGAGAAGATGGAAGAGGAAGAGGAGACAGAAGAGGAAGAAGGAAAACACCAACCAACAGGAATATGATCAGGAAGTCGAGAGACACAAGGAAAAAGAGACCGGGAAGGCCTGCTCTGTCTGTCTGTCTCTGTCCATCTGTCTCTCCATGTCTATCTCTCTGTCTTTAGCTTTCTGTCTGTCTTTGTGTCTGTCTGTCTCCCTGTCTGTCTGTCTCTGTGTTGACATCTGTCTGTCTGTCTCTTATCTGTCTGTCTGTCTGCCTCTCTGTCTCTGTCTGTTATCTGTCCATTGGTCTCATGTCTGTCTGTCTGGTCTGTCTCTCCCTGTCTGCCTCTGTGTCTGTCTGTCTGTGTCTGTCTCTTATGTCTGTCTCCCCCTGTCTGTCTCTTATCTCTGTCTGTCTGTATCTGTCTGTCTGTGTCCCTGTCTGTCTGTCTGTCTGTGTCTGTCTGTGTCTCTGTCTGTCTCTGTGTCTGTCTCTGTCTCTTATCTCTGTCTGTCTGTTCTGTCTGTGTTGACATCTGCCTGTCTCTGTCTATCTACCTCTGTCAGTCTCTCCCTGTCTCTGTGTCTCTGTCCATTTGTCTGTCTCTGTCTGTGTCTCTCTGTCTCTGTCTGTTATCTGTCCATTGGTCTCATGTCTCTCTGTCTGTCTGTTCTGTCTTTCCCTGTCTGTCTCTGTGTCTCCATCTGTCTGTACATCTCCATCTGTCTGTCTGGGTTTCTCTATCTCTGTCTCTTGTCTGTCCATCGATCTTGTCTGTCTGTCTGTTCCATCACTGTCTGTGTTGACGTCTGTCTGTCTCCACATCTCTGTTTGTCTCTGTCTTTTGTCTCTGTCTGTCTGTGTTGACGTCTGTCTGTCTGTTATCTCTGTCTCTCCCTGTGTCTGTCTACCAGTCTCATGTCTGTCTGTCTCTGTCCATCTGTCTCTTGTCTCTGTCTCTGTCTGACTCTCTTCCTGTCCGTCTGTGTGTGTACATCTGTCTGTCTGGATCTCTTCTGTCTCAGTCTGTCTCTGTGTGTCTTTTGTTTCTGTCTGTCCGTCTGTCTCTGTCTATCTGTCTTGGTGTCTCTTCTGTCTCAGTCTGTCTGTCCCCATCTGTCTCTTGTCTCTGTCTGTCTCTCTGTGCCTGTGTCTATCTCTGTTGGTCTGTTCTGTCTGTCTGTCTGTCTTCCTGTCTCTGTCCATCTGTCTGTGTCTCTTCCTGTCTGTCTCTGTCTCTGTCTGTCTGTCTCTCCGTGTCTGTCCATTTCCCTTCCTGCCTGTCTCTGTGTCTGTCTGTCTGTCCATCTGTCTCCTCTGTCTGCCCATCTGTCTGTCTGTGCCTGCGTCTGTCTGTCTGAGTCTGTTTCTTCTCTGTCTGTGTCTACATGTCTGTCTCTTCTGTCTGTCTGTCTGTCCCTGTCTCTGTCTGTCTGTCCCTGTGTCCGTCTGTCTCTCCCTGTCACTGTCTCTACATCTGTCTGTGTCCTCTGTCTGTCTGTCTGTCTCTGTCTTCCTGGCTCCATCTGTCTGTCTCATCTGTCTCTCTCCATCTGTCACTTGTCTTTGTCTGTGTCTGTCTGTCTGTCTCTTGTCTTTGTCTATCTGTCTCTGTGCATCTGTCTCTCCCTGTCTGTCTCTGTGTGTACATCTGTCTGTCTGTCCCTGTCTGTCTCTTCTGTCTCTTCTCTTTGTCTGTCTGTCTCTCTGTGTCTGTCTGTGCCAGTTTCTCTCACATCCATCTCTGTCTGTCTGTCTGTCTGTCTGTTCTGTCTCTGTCTGTCTGTGCCTGTGTCCGTCCGTCTCTTCCTGTCTCTGTGTCTATGTCTGTCTATCTGTCCTGGCTGAGTTTGTCTGTCTGTGACTGTGCCTGTCTGTCTTTGTCTCTTCTGTCTCTGTCCATCTGTCTCTTGTCTCTATGTCTGTCTGTCTATGCCTGTGTCTGTCTCTATCCGTTTCTCTTCCTGTGTGTCTCTGTGTGTACATCTGTCTGTCTGTCTGTCTGGGTCTCTTCTGTCTCAGTCTGTGTCTGTCTGTCTGTCTCTGTGTCTACATCTGTGTCCTCTGTCTGTCTGTCTGTCTGTCTGTCTGTTTCTGTCTGTCTCTGTCTTCCTGGCTCGTCTGTCTGTCTCTTCTGCCTCTCTCCATCTGTCACTTGTCTCTGTCTGTCTCTGTCTCATGTCTGTCTCTGTGTTGATGTCTGTCTGTCTGTATCTGACTCTTCTCTCTGTCGGTCTGTCTGCCCCTGCGTCTATCTGTTCTGTGTCTGTCCATCTGTCTCTCTGTCTCTGTGTCTGCCTGTGTCTGTCTGTCTCCCTGTCTGTCTGTCTCTTATCTCTGTCTGTCTGTTTCTGTTCTGTCTCTGTCTGTCTCTTGTGTCTGTCTGTCTATTCTGTCTGTCTCTTCCTGTCTGTCTCAGTCTGTCTGTCTGTCCATCTACCTCTGTCGGTCTCTCCCTGTCTCCATCTGTCTGTCTGTCTGTTCTGTCTGTCCATCTATCTCTCCCTGTCTGTGTCTGTGTCTCCATCTGGCTCTGTCTCTCATCTCTGTGTCTGTCCATCAGTCTCATGTCTGTCAGTCTGTGTCTGTTCCCTCTGTCCGTCTGTCTCTGTGTCTCCATCTGTCTGTCTGTCTCATGTCTTTGTCTCTGTGTATATGTCTGTCTGTCTGTGTCTCTTCTGTCTCTTGTCTGTCCATTGGCTCTCATGTCTCTGTCTCTCTGTGTCTGTCTGTCTCTTCTCAGTCTGTCTCTCTGTGCCTGTGTTGGTTTCTTCTGTCTCAGTCTGTCTGTCTGTCCCCATCTGTCTTCCTGTCTGTGTCTGTTTGTCTCTTTTCTCTTCTGTCTGTACCTGTCTGTCTTTTGTCTGTCTGTGTGACTCTTGTCTCTGTCCATCTGTCACTTGTCTCTATCTGT